TCGCAGCCCAGAACAACAACATTGTTATTTAAACACGGCGATTGTACGAACTTATGAGGTGTAGGTTTCAATACCAAACTTAACAATACAGAATATTGATATTATGTGCAATAATTGAATTTAAAAATTATGCAAGCGTTGTAAAATCGATCAATGGCCATAAATAATTAACAGCTTCAGCTAGCAGGAACAATTTTGTTTGGAGATGATCTTAAACATTCCAACAAAATCATAGTTAAAAATAACAAACATGACAACGGTGTGAAACTGAACTTATGCGTGACAAGTATAACGTGCCGGTGATTGCAGACTACTGATAAAAATTAGGCATAAACTGACTGGCTGAATTGGACGAGTAGGCATGACATTGGTATGTAGAGTTCTTGCTAGGTTTACCGTACCGATTGATACAGTTGTAGCAAAGTACACGATTCAATTGAATGAATAGAATTACGGTACAGGTCTTTTGGAACTTGTGAAACAGGCCTGAAGTAATTTGGAGTGGGCGGCTTAGATTCTCCTGGGGAAGAGGCAGATGGTGCTATTAAGTTATTTATAGAATCATTATTCCTGTCAGGCATCAGTCAGATAGGTACAAGAACGAGTCTCGCAAAACTCGATTGCAGTTCTATTTGAAAGAAATGTTTCCTTCTGTAATTAGAACGAGTTAAAAAGAAACCTTCTGTCGTGTTCTTCTAATGAGCTTGGCGTAATTAAACGAAACCACGTAGCTTTTATGGCATAGCAAATGGGAAAGTATAATAGAATTAAGGATGTTATTACTGATGTAACACTACGATAACAATTTCCTTAGTTTGTTTAACAACCTGCGATCTCCCAATTGCGAAACAGTAGCGCCAACATGTGAACCATGACGACAGGTCAGTTGACTGACTCACTGATTCGTGATCTTTGAGCAGTTCATAGTTATTCATCTAATAAAAAACTTTCCTGCTCGTATGGTACCTCAATGCACACAAAATTTCACCGTTGAATCGTATCCCAAACGAGTGTTTATACTAATATCATAAATTAAAATGATAATAATATTCAAACCATGCTACAAAAGTATCATTTTCGGTTCTTGTCTTTTTACTGAGTGTAGTTACTAAGCCTATGTGTATTTAGGTAACGGTAAAAATAAAGTAGCTAATTCACTCGATAAGTGAATTGACATGGATGAATTAAAAACCTAAATTCATTTAAGTTCCCTTATTGTGTTTTATCTGGAGACCATATGTGTACTTTCCAATCTTGAAATCCCCGTATGTATATTGGGGCGTATGTGTATATGAATATTCACAAATACATACACACACACACTCCATAAACTGCACATGTAAGAGAAAAAAGGATCTGTGTCCCTTATAGGCCTATTGCATTTCTCCTCACTGGGACTTTCTTTCTACCACCGGCTACTTCATAGTTAATTTGCCTTGAAAAATCTTTATTGGAGATGACAATTGTGTCCGTGTAGAATTAAGATATTTGTTTTGATTGTAAAACTACTGTTACAAGGAAGGTGGACGAACTCGGTTTGGACCCTTTGGCTAGCTGCGCTCAGAACCTGGCTCCAACGTCCTTGCTCTATTCACTGTGGTATGTAGCATTCTTCAAGCCTGATTTTAAAATGCATCGAAGGAACTAACATGAAGACAATACACGTTTACAATTTTTTCTCATTGAAAGATTTTGCCGTCTTTCCTTCCCTATCTTCTGTATGTAGACTTTTTCTATAGGTATATTTTAATTAAGACCGTTTACAGGATTCTGCTATGGAAATTAAATAGATCGACCCAGGAATAAATTTTATGCCTTGAAAACTCGCAAAAGAATAAATACACTGTACCGCTGCTTCCAGTGCATTTACGTTCTTTCTTTCTGACGTGAGATGTCGTGTGATTCTACCAATATTACTCAATTAAGTTTGTTGATTCCTTAGGTAATGTTTTTGCTTTGTCTCTCCTGTTTGGCCTATAGAAACTATTCGCGTGGGTTCTATAAATACAAGGTTACATAATTCATTGTCAGTTTGTCATTTCTTGCTGAAGCATTTGTGGCAAACTGAAGGTGATGCCTAAATATAACATAGTTTCTATTATCTGTAACATCTGTTCACACTGAACTGCAGTCAACATTTTAGTTAATGTTAAAGGAAAGAAACTAATCGAAAGGTTTTTTTTCGAGAAACGACTGCATATTTGGCATGGAGTCACCAAATGATTCATCTACGATTGCAACATTGTCATCGCATGATGTATCTGTCTACTTCTTTCGGCAATGGCGTTTTCTGTCTCAAATATATGACAGCTGGAAACTCAATTTTTATTGTTCATTGTTATTGTGGTGTACGCCAATATTTGTTCTGTTGGAGGTCAAAATGGGCATTGATATGTTTCCGTGGAAACTAATGGGTGTGGAATAATTTTATCGAAATACTAAAACGAAAACTAATTTATTAGAATATTTACGTCGAAATTTGTGGATGTTAAAAGGTGTCTTATCGAAAAATTCGAATAGAAACTAGTGAATATCGCACGATATTATCAAAATATTTCAGTTGAAGCTGGTGTTATCGTTTTATCGGATACCGTATTTGAATGAAAAGTAGACTGTTGAATCAATTATCAAACTCTTTCAATGGAACCTAAAGGATATTTGATAATTTTATCAGGATATTTTAATATAAACTACTAGGCAACAAATAATTTGTCGGACTGTTTCAATAGAAAGCGATAACTATAGAATCGTCTGTCGGAATATGTTCATGAAAAAGAAGTGGATATTCAATCGTTATATGGCAATGCTTTAATGGAAAGCAATGAACATTGAATTGTTTTTTTTATATTTTAATGGACACAATTCGTATTAACTATTAATAAATTTAAAACAATTTCTGTAAACATATATGAACAGGATTGTATATTATCACAAATAAAAATCTGATTGAAACTTATTAGTAATGATCTAAGACAGCCGAAGATTGCTATGAAAATATAAGTTAAGGAACAAAACATACTAATAGTTAATTATACAATGTGCAAATCCTATTGGGTTAGTGATCCTCAAAGAGAAGTTGATTAGTAAAGCACAAATAGCTACATCTTACCACAACATGAACATAAGATACATTAACATAACTCGAGCAACAACTCAGTTATACAGTGCAAATGACGACACAACATTCGTCGGAAAATTGTACTACTATCGTGCGTTATCGAAGCTGTGTTCGATGAAGTCATGCTTACCTCTGCGTGAATTTGTGACGTAAAATAGTGAAGTGTAGTTCCATATGTTTTGTAGGTCTAGACTAATTCTTTCGGACGCGTTAGGAAAGAATGATATTTTTCTACTACTTCCGACGTTTCATGAACATTTGTAACCAGTGATTGGCTATTATTTATACGAATCAGTTATATTGAGTTCTGAATGTAAATATTCGCCCTGTTGGTTACAAGTCAGGAGAAACTAATTTAAGAAATTTTACCGAATATTGATAAATTTAAAACATGGCCCTCAGGATGATTGGAATATGAAACAAATATTGATAAGAATTCGTATAATGTAAGAGTGTTAAGTTGTTTTCCGCCCCTCTTTAACAATGCCCCGATATTTCATGTCTGTGGTCAATGCGTCCCCTTTTTATCTGTTCCTCGGCAGCTGTCCCACTTATTCCGCCCCAGTTCCTACTTACAAGGAGCTATGAAACTTTGACAGGCTTTGATATGTGTATAGCTGCTTTGAAATTGGGAATTAAAGGCTTTATATTTTATCTACGATTATATAAACCCTATAGATTCGAGACAACTTCTTTGTGGACTAGTTAAAGTATAGACCCTGTGTAAGAATTCAGCGTATTCGGTTAATTTCTTTTTGAAATCATTTGCATGCAGACAGATTTGTGATATGTTTAAGTTCATAACATGTAAAGGGCAATTAAACAATGTTTTGTATTAAAAAAAATTATTATTGCATTATCTATATATATATATATATAATCCTATCCAGTCCACACTGGTGGAAATCGTAAATAACAAACTTTACAAAATATTGTATTTCAAAAAACTGATTTTAGATTTCTGCGTACAATTACTTAAAATTGCAAGTGGAAATGAGCCCATATGTGCGATTTATTCGAATAAATGGACGGCCGATAGTCCTAAGGCAGAGTATGGACGTTACAGCTATTAATATAAAGAAGCCTCGCATATTGGAGTATGAATAGCAGTTAACATTGAGGTGTGTGTGAGCCTTGTGTAAAAATAGACACAGAGGGAGACGTAGAGAAAAAGTCGAACTATCATGTTATGTTATAGGACAGTTTATGGGTTCGTCTTAACGTTTGTGATGACACAGAAGTGTGATTTGCTGACAAGTGAAGGTAAAAAACAATTTGGCATTGAAGAGATCGTACGTTTTTTAACAGCAGTGCTGATTTTGCCTTTGTAATAACATTTAGTTTTTGTTAATACTTGTTTGTATTAGTTAATCTTGAATGTAATTTAAAGTGCTAGATTTTTAATATCTTACGAACTTGTGTTTAATAATGACTTCTCACTTCTCGAAATGGAATTATGCACACGGTACTGATCACTGAATACATTTTATTTGCGAGCGTTACGAATTTGAACCATTATTCATCTCTTAAAATTACAGGCTTCTCAGTTTATAAAAATCCATCTTAAGGACCGATGTTTGAGGATATTTCGTGAAGGGAGAAAGCAGAGCTTCAAAGTATCATGTGCCAACATCTGATAATTCGAATAATAAGAACGAGACAGGTGTAAGTACGAGCGCTGCTTTGATTGTCATCAGTGATATGGACGCGCTCATCAACTAAACACACAAAAAAATTTACAAAAACAAAACAAAATGGTGCCAAGAAGGTAGTAAGCATGACCTTGAACATTATAATACAAATGCAGGCGAGTTGCAAGTCAACAAAACAAAACAAAACAACATTCCTAGCACGCCAAGACTTCAAAAATTCGCCTCCTTACCTGTCGGCATGGTCGAATTCTTGGCTGCAAAAAGTAAAGATCATGTAAATTAAATCCGAAAAATTTCCCGTGTTGCAATTTATAAAACCAAATATTACTTAAGAAACATAATACATGATAATATAACTACAGTTTGTTCATTTGTAGCTTGATATCTTTATTTCCATGAAAGATGTAATAAGTATTTGAAGTTATTTAGAAAACATTTACACGTAAAAAAACAGCGTACAGCAGTTAATCGAGTATCTTTGGTTAATTTAATGAACAGGTTTCTTATAAGGGGTAGTTAGGGAAGGGTAACACAACTGGGTGAACAATTTGCAACGATCTTCAAGGCTGTTGATTCTCCATTATACGTGTCAGCCCTTAAAGTACAGTGGTCACTAAACATAACATCTGCTGTTACATTCAGTAGCTGAGCATGTTGCCCACAGATTGTATTTATAGGTTTCCTACGATCCTCAGAATAAAGACCGATTATTTCTCGAAGAGCATTAACCAGTTGATCTTTATGATAGACGCTTCGTGTTTTCTTTGGGGTAAGAACTGGATTTTTAAATATTTAGATGAACTTCGTGTTTCAAAGGGTTAAGACCTCGTGTTTTTAAATAGTTGCTGCTGGAGTCGTATTTTTATCCGTCCTGACCATTCACACTTACGCACATACTGCACGTCGTTCGAGTACCATACAAGCAGGGGATTTCTTTACCAGGTAACTATCGTCGTTTCAAGACGGACTTTATTTTTAGTGATGACGAGTCCCAGAAAGGGAGTATTTGAATCAAGTAAATTACTTGGTAAAAATATATACTTTCGATTTGTTTCTTCTACAATTATGCCAACTTTACCGAATGCGTCACTACTGTTTGTATGTAGCGTTCATTTACTCGGATATTCTTGTAGATCACAGTTTTCGGATTTTTTAATTTATGATTTATCAGTAATACGGATTATGGTGTAAAATGAGTAAACCTGTTTATTATAACGAAAGTAGAAGAACAACGGCTTGAAAGATGGTTTTCTGGATTAGTCAGCCTTCCACATTACAAAAATTGTGACGTGTCTTTAATTCCACTGTAAATAGTCTTTTTAAATTTCAGTGTTTTAAAAGTGAAATAACGTTCAATTATATCTTGTGTGTGCCCTATCAGCGGTCTGTGTAGCACGTAACAGTGCAAACACACCGTGAGTATGAGTCGACAGATAACGATAGTGTTAGCTATTCAGCATGTGGTCTGCTAAGAATTATCGAGTGGGTTGGTGTAGCGCTAATGCTGTCGTCTTGTATTCTCGAGGTACCAAGTTCGAATCTTAGCAGGATTAGCCATTATTCAGAATGAGGTTCTTCAAGATTTTCCCCAGTTTCCCGTGGTAGAAATAAATAAGGTGTATCCAAACGGAGGTCAGAAATTTAGCTGGACTGCGTGTGAGGTCACCGTTTGACCGTAATGATCAGTTTCAGTTAAATACGTAGTAGTGCAGCGACTGTTTGTGGAAATGAACTAAAATCCGTTTACGCAACTTCACTCGCAAGTGTTTGAAATTAGTTAAAGATATATGTGCATGCTCTTGTGTAAAGCAGTCCTCAGAATTGTCAGATCTAAATTAAAATAGAAATGATGCGGTAAAATTTCCCAATATAATACAGTATTTTACTGAATTCAGTTTGTCCGTTCTCTAGTCCTTTCGTGCGTACTGTTGATGATCACACTTTCGTCACGTCAGCTACGCATGAACACGCGTTACTCAGTTCCACCACTAGTCACTCCAGACAAATGCTGAGTTGGTATCTAAAGAGGCTTGTGCTTACATGCTCGCCATTCACACACTATCTTGTTCTTTTTGATAAATATCGTCTGCTATTACCGAGCATATTATGTCGATGAAGCAGTGACACTATACGCATGTCGGAGGTGTCGGGTAAATGCTAGACCGGATACAGACTGTACTGGCAGAGGTTTTCCGTGGTTTTTCTCTGACTGTCAGGCGAATGACGGAAAACTACGTTAAAATAGGCCACCACAATTTTCTTAAAAATTCTTACTTTCTCACGATAATCATCGGCGTTTTATAACCTCTTCAGTCGTGACAGCGTCATTAAATAAACTAAGAATTGTACCAGTAACGACAAACTGTGCTACAGAAACAGGAAACTCAGCCAATGTACGTGTTCCAATCACTGAAACCTAAAACGAAGCGCATTACTATCCAGTAAGGTCAACATTTCCCCTGGTCTAGTCACTGTGGCCTTGGGTTCGAGTTCCGCTGACAGAGATGCGTCTTTTTTGTTTTCCCTGTGCACCCGTTCGTTTTCTAATATAAGAAAGATTAACAAGACGCAAGGTATGACTCGAACAGTCGCGCTTCGGTTGTGCCAGCATCAGTTAGTCGCCTCTAAAGCAAGAACTTAAACATCTGTAAATGCTTTAGATACAGTTGTCAGAAATGTTTTTCATCAGTGTCAGTCGTAATTTCATATATGCCCATATAGGATCGGAATTACTCAGCTAGTAAATTGATTGGCTTTCGGTTGGAAGATAGAAGTTCGATTTACGGAAATCGCGGCATATATATGCCCGAAGGCATCCCTGTGGAATGCCTGTTAAAATCTTTCCGTCCGTTGGTACGTCTGTATCTAAGAATGTATCAACTACAAAACAGCTGAATGAATTTCTATTAAATTAGATTTGGGGGGAATTATACTAATATCTGTCGACACATTGGAGTTTTTTCTAAGATTCGACACCAATGAGGAAATCCCATCATTCACAAAGGTCCAATATTGGCGAGCTCTCCGAATTGTAAACGCTACCTTTTCATTTCCTAATTTGTTCTTTTCGCCCGGGTGTGAAGTTGACGAGGCGCCGAGATTAAACATTCATGGACCTTCACCTCCTCCTGTATGTAAGTAAGTCTGCACCTACGTGGCGTGGTGTTTACACATAGGGACTGTTTTAATCAACTACACAGCTGCAATCAGGAAATCACGAGAAGTGCTAGTTCACATTTCCCAGTAGAATCATAATGCCTAATTCTAATAAGGATACAAAATAGAAAATTTCCTTCGATATCTGATAATAAGGCGTGACATCGAGTCGGTTAGTTGAATGATAATGCGTCTGATTCGTATCTTGAACGTACCCCGATCGAATCTTGGCCGGTGAACCTGCATTACTCTCTCAGATGTTTCATAATTTGTCTTGTCTGTCTCTTCAGACATCCCCCTCCTTTCCACTCACATTTATCTTCAGTGGTGACAATGAACAACTATTATAGCTGATGCAGATCTCCAAGTAACCGAAGAAGAAAGCGTAGTTTTATTTGTTTCATACCTATCCCATTTTGAAACGTTTAAAAGTAATATGTAAAACGAACGGAAAAGTCCCTGTTCCTAAGTACTACGCCATGAAAGCGTGTGGGGAAGTGGAAGTTAAGCCCCAAGCGTTGCCCACTTTACTCCTGGTGATGGTACTAGTTATGAGTGTTTGGGCCCAAGACGGTCACGGACGGAGAGAAATATCCCGTATTTCGGATTCGAATACTGATCAGTCGCTTAGCCAGTCACTTTGCTTAGTAAGTTCGCAGAGTTTGTTTAATTTCTTGTTAACAGCGTTTAATCAGCTGTGATGTTGAAAGGCCAGAACGTCGAATGATAAATAGCAACGTTTTTTTGAAATGCGAACGGGTACTTGAGCGGTACAGTTGATAGTCTCTTTTAAAATATCCCGGAATTCTCATGGATGAGCTGAAGATAAAGACAAAAAATCGTAGTGAGGGAAGCCATTCCCCGACGGAGTTCTAAGCAAGGACGTCCTGATAGAAACAGACGCGCTAACCACTACACAGCGACTAATGCGCCGTTGTTTGTATTCTTAGTTCATGATGCCATGATGTGATGGACTGATTTTCAGACATTTCGGAGAATCTAGCGAAGTCTGAATTTTGAGATTTTTACGATGTTGAAGATTTCGATTGTGGTCTTTGCCTTGAAGATGGAGGCATTAAGTTCCTGTGAAACGTTTGTAACCACGTACAAATCCACATGACGTCATGACCCACAAGATTACGAATGACGAAGTACATTCTTTCTTTCTTTCTTTCTTTCACTTTGACGGACGGAGACTGGCAGATTCTACTAAACTTCGGTTAAGCAGTTTACAGCATGGCATATCATCGCTAAGAATGAGAACAAGATGAACTACAAACCGCCCTAATATAATATTTTTGTGAATTGTACCGAGCAGAATGAACAGACTGCGGAACCGGGACGTTATTTGTGACAATGACGTCAGCACTTTGTGTGTGTGTGTGTGTGTACGTGTACTTTAACCTGTCTGTACCACTTCCACACAGCGGGTGTTAGCAGACTTGTCTGTTGTATGCAACACCTCAAGTGACATCCTATCATTTCTTTTTGTTACATTTCTGCACCTACCCTCTCGGACACAATGTTCTTCTTCGCACACCTTCAGTCACCGTGATAACTGTGATTTCTCTCGTCAGGAGCGGTAATAGAGGTCTGCACTAGACCGGGCCTGGTACACACAATTTTCGGGTCAGGACTGGGTTCGGGCCTGGTTTATATGATAGCAATCGAACATTATATGTAACATTTAGGGCTTACTCGGGCTGTTTGTTATTCGCAAAGAGTTGCGCTCATTTTATGCTCGTGACTTAGTCGGGCTCCAGAATCAAATTTTTCTGACTTCATATTCTAGGGGATTTTTGTAGCCGCGCTCTAGAAATAGTTCGTGATAACGCCTTGCAAACCTGGCATCCAGTATCTTTGTACCGTTCCTCAAACGCCAAAATTACCTCAGATGTTTTAGAAAGTCATTAAATAATTTATTCAATAATTACTAGCATTTATTCATTAAAAGTAACATTTATTATTGATACGACAGTCAGGGCAGATTGTAAATAGATCTGGCTTCATTCGGGCTGGAATAAAAGGAAGTCGGGTTTAGGTGGGGTATGGGTAAAACTTGGGGCCGGGGCTGGAACGGGCCAATTGGACCCCAGGT